CATGGTAGTGTCTGTGAGACCATACATGTATAGTCTGTAGGACATGGTAATGCCAGTGAAATCATACATGTATAGTCTGTAGGACATGGTAGTGTCTGTGAGACCATACATGTATAGTCTGTAGGACTTGGTAGTGTCTGTGAGACCATACATGTATAGTCTGTAGGACATGGTAGTGTCTGTGAGATCATACATGTATAGTCTGTAGGACATGGTAATGTCAGTGAGACCATACATGTATAGTCTGTAGGACATGGTAATGCCAGTGAAATCATACATGTATAGTCTGTAGGACATGGTAATGCCAGTGAAATCATACATGTATAGTCTGTAGGACATGGTAATGCCAGTGAAATCATACATGTATAGTCTGTAGGACATGGTAGTGTCTGTGAGACCATACATGTATAGTCTGTAGGACATGGTAATGTCAGTAAAATCATACATGTATAGTCTGTAGGACATGGTAATGTCAGTAAAATCATACATGTATAGTCTGTAGGACATGGTAGTGTCTGTGAGACCATACATGTATAGTCTGTAGGACATGGTAGTGTCTGTGAGACCATACATGTATAGTCTGTAGGACATGGTAATGTCAGTGAAATCATACATGTATAGTCTGTAGGACATGGTAGTGTCTGTGAGACCATACATGTATAGTCTGTAGGACATTGTAATGTCAGTGAAATCATACATGTATAGTCTGTAGGACATGGTAGTGTCTGTGAGACCATACATGTATAGTCTGTAGGACATGGTAATGCCAGTGAAATCATACATGTATAGTCTGTAGGACATGGTAGTGTCTGTGAGACCATACATGTATAGTCTGTAGGACATGGTAGTGTCTGTGAGACCATACATGTATAGTCTGTAGGACATGGTAGTGTCTGTGAGATCATACATGTATAGTCTGTAGGACATGGTAATGTCAGTGAGACCATACATGTATAGTCTGTAGGACATGGTAATGCCAGTGAAATCATACATGTATAGTCTGTAGGACATGGTAATGTCAGTGAAATCATACATGTATAGTCTGTAGGACATGGTAATGCCAGTGAAATCATACATGTATAGTCTGTAGGACATGGTAGTGTCTGTGAGACCATACATGTATAGTCTGTAGGACATGGTAATGTCAGTAAAATCATACATGTATAGTCTGTAGGACATGGTAGTGTCTGTGAGACCATACATGTATAGTCTGTAGGACATGGTAATGCCAGTGAAATCATACATGTATAGTCAGTGAAATAATATAATCAGGAGGAAGGGAAGTTTCAGTGAGACCGTATAGCCCTGAGGAAAAGTTGGTATCCATGAGGTCATATATATATAGTCTATCACTCTTCCATTATCAACTTCAATCATAATTATTTATCGAATCGATTAAATACAACTTGTTTCAAATGGACACAGCGTTTAACACCGTACCGTATATACTAATTAATTGAATCAGTCATGATTACAAGCTTATGTAATGCTTATTGGTTTTAACAACGATAGATTTATATAACCGTTCAATACATTTGTCGCTCTATGTCTATATTATCATAAAAAAATTGATTTTAAATAACATGTTTCAGATTTAAAATGGTATTATTACTTTTATTTATCAACATATTTTTGGTGTTGTTTATGTCATTGTAACTATTGTTCACCCAAAGGATAACAGGAAAAACAACAAAGAGAATTGGTTCAAGTAAAACATCATATAGCGGGAAAAGTAGGAGAATAAGACCAGGTGCTCAGGAAGAGTTTTCGTCTTCATTGATAATATCCGCCAGGTACATCTTGGTCAATCTAAGTAAGTAATGGAACATTCGCAAATGAGAACAAGGTATACAACCACGGATCCAACAGGCAAACTAGTGAGCATCAAACACGTGCAGCTTTATATCACACGAGGAATATTTCCCACTCCGATAATTATAATATATAATCGTAAAACCTCCACATAATCATCGGTGCACATCTCACATAATTTGTGAAACTGTGCACGGTTTTCCGTTTTTAGATAGTATCATACCTCTTGTCTCAATTTAAGTTTTAGAAGTCGCATCTGATAACGAATTCAAGAGATGCTTTGTAATGAAGATTCTCATTAAGAAATATTCTGTTTCCATATTCTTTCCGACGTGTTTGGTGCTCGTTCGTGTGCCAGGTTATTCCTAGTTAGCAAATTTTCATGAATAAGTAAAGATGTCCATTAGCGGATATTATCTCCTTCTAATTGTACTATTTTCAGGGTTCTCCGCATAAATATTTCATTTGTTGACATGTTGTCCAAATTTCAGCAGTTTGGAAAGTTCAAACTGTATTATTATCATGTCGATATTTTCCCGTTGTATAGAACTTCAGTAAATCACCATTATATGCTCTGGCCGTGCGAGGAAGTCTATCACCTACTTACCCTACTTACCGAAGTGTGTCTTTTCTTGTGGTGATGTAGTTTTTCGTCAACGTTTAACTTTCATTTCTTGTCTGCCTAAGTTGGCCATTTGTGTTTTGCGTCACAAAGAAAGGGGTTGTTGAAGGTACATGTTTCCAATAATTTCTTAGCTTTCGCTTTGTAAAATCAGGTTCATTTCTATTGAGAAATAGTTTTCACGTACAGGTATCCAATATTTTATTTAGCCTTGGCCTTGTATAGTAGGTTCATTCCTAGGGAGGGTTGGGTTGCACGTACAGGTATCTAATATTTATTTAGCCTTGCCCTTGTATAACCAGGTTAATTACACTGAAGTATAAATTACAATAGATTCAAAGGAGTGCTGGTTATTTGAACAATAAGTTTCAGGTTCTGACAAACAGGAACCCACAGCTGAGAGATAAAGCTTTTAAGATGTCTCTATCACCGTCGATGATTGATTTTTAACGGAGGACTGGTTGCTTTCGACTTTTATAGCTGTACAGGCAAATAGACCGGTTACACCAAGACCGGAGGTGTGCAGTATCGAAATCTAGTACTGACATGGTATTCTGTGTTTTTATCTTCAGGTAAGGAATGTCTTAACAGCAGTCACGTTCAAAACGAAACAGTTGACAATAATTACGGGGTTGACATAAATATGTTCCCGAAACGCCATCATTACGTGGATAACATATATCTGTCCCTGAGGCGCAATCATTACGGGGTTAACATATATCTGTCCCTGAGGCGCAATCATTACGGGGTTAACATATATCTGTCCTTGAGGCGCAATCAATACGGGTTAACATAAATCTGTCCCTGAGGCGCAATCATTACGGGGTTAACATATATCTGTTCCTGAGGCGCAATCAATACGGGTTTACATAAATTTGTCCCCGAAACGCCATCATTAGGTGGATAACACATATCTGTCCCTGAGGCGCAATCATTACGGGGTTAAAATGTATCTGTCCCTGAGGCGCAATCATTACGGGGTTAACATAAATCTGTCCCTGAGGCGCAATCAATACGGGTTAACATATATCTGTTCCTGAGGCGCAATCAATACGGGTTTACATAAATTTGTCCCCGAAACGCCATCATTAGGTGGATAACACATATCTGTCCCTGAGGCGCAATAATTACAGGGTTAACATTGCTATACCCCTGAAGAACACGATCGTTCTAATCATTACTCTCCTGATGGGAACGATTTGTCGTCTATTTCATCGATTAGATACAGGCCGAAAATGGTAATTGAGCCCAGTCCTACTATCTCACAATATGGTCATAATGTATTAACACATTCTTCTCTCAGACTTCAAAGGCGAAAATGTGATTTAACAAACTTTGGTTTTCATACATTATTAATAGAAAAATACAATAAACGTATACTTACTATCACTGGTCATGCAATTTTGACATAGGTAACACACAGATAAATCGGTATCAAGAGATTGCTTAAAAGTGTGCTTTTAACGTAATAGAAGATGTAAGTGTGAAATATATAACATAAAGGTTTTTTTCTGTACATTAATATTGTTATGTATTGGCTACTTGTTATATTCGAGTATAACCTAAACTGAATGTTTTAACAATTTGGTGTAAAAGCAACCCTTATTGTGGATATTGTTATTTTTGGTACATAAACTCTTAGCGTACTATGTTAAGAAGAATTTATCTCTTAAATAGAATACACCAATAAAAATCGTGTAATTACCGAATCGTATTCCGGCCAAGTTGTCTTTTATTTTAACTCAAAATTACGAGATAGTAACTCGAAATTTCGAGTAAGTAATCCGAAATTTTGAGTTAGTAATCCGAAATTTCGAAATAGCAACCCGAAATTTGAGTCAGTAACTCGAGATTTCGAGTAAGTAATCCGAAATTTTGAGTTAGTAAGTCGAAATTTCGCTTTGCTATCTCGAAATTTCGGGTTAATATCTAAAAATTTCGGATTATTAACTGGAAATTTCGAGTTAATAACTCAAAATTTCGAGTTGCTATCTCGAAATTTCGAGATGAAATAAAATAAACGTGGCCGGAATACGCTTTCTTATGTAATAAAGATAAAATCATATAACACTTGATAAATACAGATATTGTTAAAACAAACATGTTTTGGTATCCTGCATTAGGGCATATAAACCTTTAGGAGTTATTTCCCTTATCGCGTTTCGTTTCTGCACACACGTCATACCTCCAACTTAATTACCAGCATGCCTTAATTAACAACGTACAGCAGTAACGACAAATATCATGCTTATTCAACTAGCTTAGAACGTCATTTAGCTATTCTTGAGTTTATCATCAAGTCTCATTGACGTCATCGTAAGGAAAATGCACGATGTACTATGATTATGTCATAACGCATTATTCATATGGGTAGGGCATAAAATCATACCTAGTCCATATCTGTTGTTTACTTAATAGCGGTTTAACTCCTACCTATTCGTAATTAGGGGTTAACACTGGAATCTATGGAGACTCTCATTAACCTTTCGGGCGTTGATAAAATATTTCTAAAACTCTATCAACCATGGGGAAACCTACGTTTCCTTCTGCATAACATCAAGCAAACATGATTATCCCCCTTCGACCACTGGCAAACAGGTATGGCAGATTAAAACAGTTATTGAAAAGTCATTATGTGGAAATAACCAAAATGACCTACCTCAATACCAACTTTTATCAATAGCATAGCAAAAATGTTCCCCTCACCATCAAACACCTTGACATTTACCTACAGTGTGACAACAATGTTCCCTTCACCATCAAACACCTTGACATTTACCTACACTATGACAACAATGTTCCCTCACCATCAAACACCTTGACATTTACCTACACTATGACAATAATGTTCCCTCACCATCAAACACCTTGACATTTACCTACACTATGACAATAATGTTCCCTCACCATCAAACACCTTGACATTTACCTACACTATGACAACAATGTTCCCCTTACCACCAAACACCTTGACATTTACCTACACTATGACAACAATGTTCCCTCACCATCAAACACCTTGACATTTACCTACAGTAGGACAACAATGTTCCCTCACCATCAAACACCTTGACATTTACCTACGGTATGACAATAATGTTCCCTCACCATCAAACACCTTGACATTTACCTACAGTGTGACAACAATGTTCCCTCACCATCAAACACCTTGACATTTACCTACAGTAGGACAACAACGTTCCTTCACCATCAAACACCTTGACATTTACCTACACTATGACAATAATGTTCCCTCACCATCAAACACCTTGACATTTACCTACACTATGACAACAATGTTCCCCTAACCATCAAACACCTTGACATTTACCTACAGTAGGACAACAATGTTCCTTCACCATCACACACCTTGACATTTACCTACAGTAGGACAACAATGTTCCCTCACCATCAAACACCTTGACATTTACCTACGGTATGACAATAATGTTCCCTCACCATCAAACACCTTGACATTTACCTACAGTGTGACAACAATGTTCCCTCACCATCAAACACCTTGACATTTACCTACAGTAGGACAACAACGTTCCTTCACCATCAAACACCTTGACATTTACCTACACTATGACAATAATGTTCCCTCACCATCAAACACCTTGACATTTACCTACACTATGACAACAATGTTCCCCTAACCATCAAACACCTTGACATTTACCTACAGTAGGACAACAATGTTCCTTCACCATCAAACACCTTGACATTTACCTACAGTGTGACAACAATGTTCCCTCACCATCAAACGCCTTGACATTTACCTACACTATGACAACAATGGTCCTCTAACCATCAAACACCTTGACATTTACCTACAGTAGGACAAGCATGGTCCCCTCACCATCAAACACCTTGACATTTACCTACACTATGACAACAATGGTCCCCTAACCATCAAACACCTTGACATTTACCTACACTATGACAACAATGTTCCCCTCACCATCAAACACCTTGACATTTACCTACAGTAGGACAACAATGTTCCCCTCACCATCAAACACCTTGACATTTACCTACAGTATGACAACAATGTTCCCCTCACCATCAAACACCTTGACATTTACCTACACTATGACAACAATGGTCCCCTAACCATCAAACACCTTGACATTTACCTACACTATGACAACAATGTTCCCCTCACCATCAAACACCTTGACATTTACCTACACTATGACAATAATGTTCCCTCACCATCAAACACCTTGACATTTACCTACACTATGACAACAATGTTCCCCTTACCACCAAACACCTTGACATTTACCTACACTATGACAACAATGTTCCCTCACCATCAAACACCTTGACATTTACCTACAGTAGGACAACAATGTTCCCTCACCATCAAACACCTTGACATTTACCTACGGTATGACAATAATGTTCCCTCACCATCAAACACCTTGACATTTACCTACAGTGTGACAACAATGTTCCCTCACCATCAAACACCTTGACATTTACCTACAGTAGGACAACAATGTTCCTTCACCATCAAACACCTTGACATTTACCTACACTATGACAATAATGTTCCCTCACCATCAAACACCTTGACATTTACCTACAGTATGACAACAATGTTCCCCTCACCATCAAACACCTTGACATTTACCTACACTATGACAACAATGGTCCCCTAACCATCAAACACCTTGACATTTACCTACACTATGACAACAATGTTCCCCTCACCATCAAACACCTTGACATTTACCTACGGTATGACAATAATGTTCCCCTAACCATCAAACACCTTGACATTTACCTACAGTGTGACAACAATGGTCCTCTAACCATCAAACACCTTGACATTTACCTACAGTAGGACAACAATGTTCCCCTCACCATCAAACACCTTGACATTTACCTACAGTGTGACAACAATGTTCCCCTCACCATCAAACACCTTGACATTTACCTACACTATGACAACAATGTTCCCCTCACCATCAAACACCTTGACATTTACCTACAGTGTGACAACAATGTTCATCAAACACCTTGACATTTACCTACACTATGACAACAATGTTCCCCTAACCATCAAACACCTTGACATTTACCTACAGTGTGACAACAATGTTCCCCTCACCATCAAACACCTTGACATTTACCTACACTATGACAACAATGTTCCCCTAACCATCAAACACCTTGACATTTACCTACAGTGTGACAACAATGTTCCCTCACCATCAAACACCTTGACATTTACCTACACTATGACAACAATGTTCCCCTCACCATCAAACACCTTGACATTTACCTACAGTGTGACAAGCATGGTCCCCTCACCATCAAACACCTTGACATTTACCTACAGTATGACAACAATGTTCCCCTAACCATCAAACACCTTGACATTTACCTACACTATGACAACAATGTTCCCCTAACCATCAAACACCTTGACATTTACCTACAGTAGGACAACAATGTTCCCCTAACCACCAAACACCTTGACATTTACCTACAGTATGAAAACAATGGTCCTCTAACCATCAAACACCTTGACATTTACCTACAGTGTGACAACAATGTTCCCTCACCATCAAACGCCTTGACATTTACCTACACTATGACAACAATGGTCCATTTACCTACAGTAGGACACCATCAAACACCTTGCATTTACCTACACTATGACAACAATGGTCCCCTAACCATCAAACACCTTGACATTTACCTACACTATGACAACAATGTTCCCCTCACCATCAAACACCTTGACATTTACCTACAGTGTGACAAGCATGGTCCCCTCACCATCAAACACCTTGACATTTACCTACAGTATGACAACAATGGTCCCCTAACCATCAAACACCTTGACATTTACCTACACTATGACAACAATGTTCCCCTCACCATCAAACACCTTGACATTTACCTACAGTAGGACAACAATGACATCAAACACCTTGACATTTACCTACAGTATGACAACAATGTTCCCCTCACCATCAAACACCTTGACATTTACCTACACTATGACAACAATGTTCCCCTAACCATCAAACACCTTGACATTTACCTACACTATGACAACAATGTTCCCCTCACCATCAAACACCTTGACATTTACCTACAGTATGACAACAATGGTCCCCTCACCATCAAACACCTTGACATTTACCTACAGTGTGACAACAATGGTCCTCTAACCATCAAACACCTTGACATTTACCTACAGTAGGACAACAATGTTCCCCTCACCATCAAACACCTTGACATTTACCTACAGTGTGACAACAATGTTCCCCTCACCATCAAACACCTTGACATTTACCTACACTATGACAACAATGTTACCCTCACCATCAAACACCTTGACATTTACCTACAGTGTGACAACAATGTTCCCCTAACCATCAAACACCTTGACATTTACCTACACTATGACAACAATGTTCCCCTAACCATCAAACACCTTGACATTTACCTACAGTGTGACAACAATGTTCCCCTCACCATCAAACACCTTGACATTTACCTACACTATGACAACAATGTTCCCCTAACCATCAAACACCTTGACATTTACCTACAGTGTGACAACAATGTTCCCTCACCATCAAACACCTTGACATTTACCTACACTATGACAACAATGTTCCCCTCACCATCAAACACCTTGACATTTACCTACAGTGTGACAAGCATGGTCCCCTCACCATCAAACACCTTGACATTTACCTACAGTATGACAACAATGTTCCCCTAACCATCAAACACCTTGACATTTACCTACACTATGACAACAATGTTCCCCTAACCATCAAACACCTTGACATTTACCTACAGTAGGACAACAATGTTCCCCTAACCATCAAACACCTTGACATTTACCTACACTATGACAACAATGTTCCCCTCACCATCAAACACCTTGACATTTACCTACAGTGTGACAAGCATGGTCCCCTAACCATCAAACACCTTGACATTTACCTACAGTATGAAAACAATGGTCCTCTAACCATCAAACACCTTGACATTTACCTACACTATGACAACAATGTTCCCCTCACCATCAAACACCTTGACATTTACCTACAGTGTGACAAGCATGGTCCCCTCACCATCAAACACCTTGACATTTACCTACAGTATGACAACAATGGTCCCCTAACCATCAAACACCTTGACATTTACCTACACTATGACAACAATGTTCCCCTCACCATCAAACACCTTGACATTTACCTACAGTAGGACAACAATGATCATTCATTTGAATAATTTCAAAAGAAACTTAAAAAATGAGTATATTATGAACCATGCCATTATGTGGATTTATTAAAACGTAACATGCAGACTACGGAAAAGCTACACAACCTGCGATTTCAAGATTGAAAAAATGACATACAAGTGAACAGGAACTTTCAATATAAATCAGGAATTAGGTACAGTAGAGCAAACCAATGATTTAAACTGAATCATACAATTGTTCGCCTCCTCCTGAACATGAAAAATTTCTCTTTCTCGTAATGTCATAGCGATCTCCTTAAGCAATATTTTATTTCTTTGTTGGTTGAAGCTAGATGTGTTTGATGCTCGTTTGTTTG